ACAACAACATCAACCACATCAACCACATCAACCACATCGACAACATCAACGACGTCAACAACATCAACAACAACATCAACAACAACATCACCAACAACATCATCATCGACGACGACGACAACAACAACAACAACAACAACAACAACAACAACAACAACAACAACAACAACACCAACAACACCAACACCAACACCAACACCAACACCAACACCAACACCAACAACAACAACAACAACAACAACGACAACAACAACAACAACAACACCACAACAACAACAACAACAACAACAACAACAACAACCACAACAACAACAACAACAACGACGACAACGACAACGACAACGACAACAACAACAACAACAACAACCACAACAACGACAACAACAACAACAACCACAACAACGACAACAACAACAACAACAACCACAACAACTTGGTAAAGCCACCTAGATGGCGCCAACCTAGGCCGAGGTAGGCGCAACCTCGCCCAAGCTGTGCGCCACCAGGGTCGAATTCAAACCCAGCTCGGGCTGACGGGTCTGCTTTTGCCGTCACGTTTTTGGGGGTTCGGGGTGGGAAAAAAGATGGTAAAATTTGAAGATGCGTTTTGGAGGTCCTTGTTGGACGTGTTTTGGTCGCTTTTTGGTCAATTTTTCATCATTTTTTGGTCCTGCCCACGCGTAAAAATCGTGTAATTTACAATGTTTTTGTGCCTTTGGCATCCAAAAAAAGCTTCTGACAACATGCAGGAAACTGTGTAAATACCAGTGTTTTTGCTAGGCCCGGGCCACAAAACACTGTAAATACCGTGATTTTTGCTCGCAGAGGCTCAAAACCTCGTAAATACCGTGGTTTTGCGTTGGCGCGGAGCCAAAAACATCGGTATTTACGGTGTTTTTTTGTTCCGAGAATGTGAAAAATCGCGAAAACACCGCCTATTTGACGCTTTTTGGGGTTTGCAAAAACCGTCGATTTGACGATTTTGAGGGGTTTGCAAAAAAGTACCAACTACGAAGATAACAACGACAACGACCACAGGACCAAGCAGCTATAACAACAATAACAACAACGGCACGACGACGACGACGACGACGCTGACGACGACCAAGACGACGACAACAAGGCCAACGACGACAACGACGACAATGACGACAAGGACGACAACAAGGACAACGACAACGACAACACGAACAAGAACGAGAACGAGAAGGAGGACCAGAAGCAACAACAACAACGACGACAACGAAGATGCAGCTCGCAGCATGTCATGTCCGCAAGTTCAGATGAAATCCCCCTCTCTCTTTCCCTCCCCCGACCCCTACAGGCATCGCCGGTGTGCGAAGCTCTACAATATATATATATATGTATATATATATATATATTATCTATCACATATTGTGGATACAGGACATATATCATATCATATCATTAAAAATATATATATATATCATGTATGGGTGTGTATATATATATATATATCATGTATGTATATGTATATATCACATATGCATGCATCATGTCTATACTGTTTGTCATATATATATATATATGTGTGTGTGTGTGCATGCATACATATCATATATATATACACACACATAGTTACACAACTATCATAATATCTATATGTATATATATACACGTGACAATCAACTTAAATGATCTTCAACAACCGGCGAATCTCAAGGATCCAGAAATCTGCAACAGAATCGGGCCACAAGCCTCTGAGATCCGGCAAAGGTCTTCACAAAATCCGGTCAAATGGTCAAAATATGATCATACAATTTGATGTACCACACATATGGGAATGGTTTATTACATTTTATTACCACCTATAAAAATGCTGATGACTGGGAGGTGGTGTTTGTGGATTTTATAGCATTGTTTTACCCACATGACCGACATTTCAATTAGGCCAGAATTGTCGGGCAGCTGTTCATCCCCAATCCTCGGGGAGATCTGCAGCGCAAAGTTCCGGCCCTCTGAGTTGACGGCCACCTGGATCCGGGAGATCCATCAACCGCGCGGCTCCGAGGCTCCGAATGATTGGAGAACTCTTGAGATTCAGATGCTACCAGTTAATGATCAACATTGGTTGGACAATTTCACCATTAAACAAATCCAAGAGAGCCAAGAAAAATAAGAAAATACCCACCATTTATGAAGTTGGCTTTCGAAAGGATTCTTGAAAAGAGTTTTGGACCAATTTGTGAGGCACTTGCCGCGACCTGCAGGTCACAAATGGCCGACTCGGTGTTCAAGCCACAGACGCCAGTGTCGTCTGGAAGCTGCGAAATCTCCTGACAGTGACAGATATGGCATGGGGTTGTCTCAAAAAGAAGCCCATTCTCCCCTGGTTTGAAATCATGTTCCCTACTAAAACTCATTTTTTGGAATTTTGCAACAAATCCACAAGCCTTATTGGAGGTGGGTACTATCTGTAGCACACATGTCTTGATTGTCCGATTGTCAAGAGATGCACATCCACCATTTCTTCAGCCATAGCTGCCTCCAGCACTGCCTACTTTGCGCAAGTCCCAACACTTAGAAAGACTGACAGAGAAGGCTTATCACGGCAAAAGTGGAAGCTGAACAACACCAACCCTGCTGGCCCATCCATGCCCATATCACAAGCATGGGAAACACCGCCTGGATAGTCACCAAATCATATCCTCGGGCACTCTAATCGCGTTCACAAGCTCCCATGTAGCAGCTGTAGCAGCAAAGATAAAAGACGTGTGCCAGGAGAATATCCTCATTATTTGCCATGAAATCCCATTCTTTTCAATTTGTTTTGCAGCTGTGAAGCCAATGTACAAAGGGCACATACGCCCGAGCCCCAGACCAACCAAACCAGCCTGCCACCCTCAGCAAATAACTCCAAGCAGCGACGAATGGTCACGGCAAGGGCTTCCAGTACTGCTGATTTGGAGGCTTTGCTGACACCATAGTTTTGGATGTTGAAAGTTGCCTCGGCATGATGAAGGTGTTCCCCTAACGGAAAAACGTCAGGCGAAAACGGCGAAAACCTCCTGCAACTCCTATGCTGCAAACTGAGGAGTGCAAAAAGTAGAAGTTTGACGAGATCTCCAAAAAAATGAGTTGGATGGTTTTCCAAACGAGTCCTCCAAACTTCTCGGTTTTTCTTGCCAAAATGTAACATGTTTGAAAATCTCAAGGTAATGCACGTGCCGGACACTACATTGCTTATCTATTATATATATATGTGTGTGTGCATATTGTTTTGGAGAAGTTCGTTACCAGTAGTATGTTTTTGTCGCGGTATCGACTTGTCACAGCTCACAGTCGCACACTCCAGGTCACAAATCAGCCAACTTTGGCTGAAGTCGAGATACGAAGAAGATTCCATCACAAGTGGCTGCCTGATCCAATCAATCAAAACCTTGCAATCAGCAAAGTTGTCAAACATTGCCAAACTGTTCAAATCTATAGACATAAATCGTCCTAAACTGTGTGCAAGGTGTCCAATTGGTATTAAGGGTGTTGTCGTTATTAAATCGAAAGAAAATGCAACGCATCTGTTTTTACCATTTTTTTACCCAAAAAATGGATCTTTTCCAACACCTTCTGAAAGCTTCAACCATCAGTGTCCAAGCTCAAACTTCTCGCCTCGGAGAGTTGCTGCGAGCTTTCAGCAAAGGGAAGCCAGAGGAAACGGATCCACCACATGGCGCGGTGAAACAACGAATCCCCTGGGAATCCTGGCTTCAAAGAGATGGTGTCTTGGGGTCTTTCATGTCGCTATTCAAAGGTTGATGTTCACTTCCCGGCTTTCGGTCACTTTCAGACTTTCAGATTGCATATCTGGCGTGACCATCAGTTGCCACGTGTGTCTTCAATATCTCAAACTGAAATTCTCCGTGGTGGACAAAGTTGAAAAGGTGAGACTAGCTGAGGGAAACACCTGAGACCCAATGCGACATTGAGTTTTTAGGGGGATCGCCTGAAAAACGTCTTGTTCATCCAGGCTTGGATAAAAACGGCAGCACCCCATCCCACGTGGCATCGGAGCAGCCCAATGCCCAATGCCCTTGCCGCGCCACACCGCTGCGGTGGCTCCGGCCTCTTTGGGCCTGGCAGTGAGCCAGTTTCCATAACGAAGCCCTACGGGCAGCTTATGGGAATGGGTTCCATCGGTGTCCCTATAATTTCCTTGGACATTGTCATTGAGATCAAGAAGAACAAGAAAAATAGGAAAAATAAGAAGGAAATTGATGGGAAAAAGTCATCTTTTGTTGTGGTGGTGGTGATCGTCGTGGCGCGACAAATGGTGACGTTGACGGATGTTAACGGTCATGGTGACTGTCACGGTGACAGTGATGGTGATGGTGATGGTGGTCTTGATGCTGAAATCTGGAGGTCCAAACCAGGTTCAAATCAGACCGGTTGGCAGGTCAAGCATCAGTCATGCCCAAAATTTCTATGGGCAAATACCCAATCACTGCTAATTCTCTTTGTGAAAGGGGTGGATTTCTATCGCCATCTTTATCAATTTGTTCTTTTTGTCAAAAGTTGGCCAGTTTAAAATAGTGCCGTCATTGAAATACAATATAGGGAAAATATTGAAAATTAATGAAAATTATGTTTTCATAGGTTTCCTCTAGCACCGGATGAGGGAAATCGCAGATCACCAAGCCAATGGAGGCGTCCATGAAGCCATCCCCCACCTCCATGACTCGCCTCTCCTGACCATGCTGGAGATGCTGAGATGCTTATCCCGATCCAATTGACACTAGCTTAGATGCATGGCAAAAAAAAAAAAACAAAACTCATCAATTTGAAAATGGCTAACTCATTGACTTCAAATTTCATGGAATCACTGAACCAACACTTGCCGAACGGGCTCCTGCTTCTCTTGCAGCCTGTCAACCAGGGCTCACCGGAGATGATCAATCTGTCGTGTCTTGGAATATGTTCACAGTGCACGTGGCAGCGAAAGAAACAGTTTCCATGTGTCGTTCACCTGTCACACCCCAATCCTGATGCTTGTTGCTTCGTATCTTACGTGCCAAGTTTTGTTTGTTGGTTCTATGCTGAGGGGTGTTGAAGAAAGCATAGAAAACCATGTAGAGCCGAGCCACTCAAGATCATTCCGACACCCCAACGCCCAAACGCGTCCTCGTCCGGGGATCCAGTCTCTGCGGAGCCTGTCACAGATGAAATCCCCCGACGTCATTATCGGGCCAACTTAGTTGAACGATTGCGCAGTAGTGGGGAGTGAAGGTCGCCGCCACACAGGACCTGAAGGATTGAAACCAAAATTAAGACCCAAAATCCAATCACCCCATCACAGATTTCTCGCTGGGGTGGTTCAAGGGAAAAATTAAAGGAAACCAAGGCTCTTTACCATTGATTGTACAGTAGGAAGTAGGAAGGTTCTGTATATGTTCTCTTCATATAATTCTTGGATTTTTGGTGCGTTCTTGGGAGAATTTCAAGAATCCCAGGACAAATTCTGCTAGCGGATTCCCAAAATGGGGAAGATGTCGCCTCCAGAACTCGGAAAACCGTGCCTGTGGCACTGGGGGTGCCGGGGGCGCCGGGGGCGCCTGGGCTTCCTGCCGTGGTTTCAGCTCCAGCAGCCTCTCTAAAAGGGACAAGCTACAGCAAGCTGTCCTGCAGGGCCAACTCCAAAGCTTGTTTCGCCTCCAGCCTTGGCTCTGGGAGAATCTTGGTTAAAAACAACAAGAGTATCTGAAAATTCTGGGGTTAAAAGTTTGATGAGGGCAACTCAACGGGGAAGATGATGATTCACCTGTGGATTTCGGGGTTGTACCATGTTGCACCATGTTGTAACATGTTGTACCATGTTGTACCCCATTCCTGGACAAAGGCATGCAACTATCACTGGCTGGTCATATTTGGAAAGGTTGCGCCCGCATAAATATTGGCTGCCTGGTTCTTGAAGTAATCTATGATTTCTCGAAGAAGGCCCCATGAACTTCGGTGAGAGTTCTAATTGAGAATTTTAATTCAAAATGATACTATACACCGCACCACGCACCACCCACATATTGATCAACAAGCAGCTCCGTTATCCAGGCTGATATTGCTGAACCATCCAGTTTTGTGAGGTCAAAACATGCAAACAAAACGCCACATGCTACAGAGGGTCAGCTGCTTTCAAGCCAGTTTCCTACCCAGATTTGGAAAGTTGAGATGTCCATATAATATGTCCATATATTTCGTGTCAAAAACAAATGATCCTAGCATAACATGTTTCAGTTTTGCGGGCACACTTCGTGCAAAAATTGTGAGTTTCTCACATGGCGATAACTGAGTCACCCAACTGCTGACTATCAGGGCTGGGTGGGAAACTCGCTGGTGGAGAAACACCTGCGCAGGCAAGATGGAGCCGTCAAAGCCGGCAACCCTCCCACAGTCCCACGGGCCCACCATGGATTTCCGGTTCCCCAATTTTGACCCACATCCAAACCTGAGGATTATTTTGCGAAGTCCGGTCTGGGGCCGGTGCGAACCATCTCCTGCAAAACAACTCCACTGTTGAATTTTAAAGAATCCGTCAACTGGTTGCTCCCACCAGAATTGGATGGGACTGCAACTATGATATTAAATTCCAACAAAATGCAGAATTGAATTGGTACGAACCAATATTCAAGGCCAACAATATCCACAGATTCCCTGACCATTTTTGGTGATTCACCATCCTACCTTGCCAGCCATCTGCAGGTCCGATGGCACCACATTTGGCCCACCAGGCCTTGACTATGTCGGTTCCAGGCCGGTCTTTGCTGCGCCTGGTTCCCACCGTCAGTTCCCAAATGTGTATTCCGAACACAAACAATGTTTAGGCATGCATACGTGCGTACATGCATGTGTATACATATATATATATATGTATGTGTGTGTGTATGTATATGTATATTGAACATGTATATGTAAATGTACGTGTATGTCTATAAATGTAAATGTAAATGTTTATATGTTTATGTGTGTGGATGTATGTATGTATGTATGTATGTATGTACGTACGTATGCATGCATGTGTATGCATGCATGCATGTATGGATGCATGTATGTGTGTATGTGTGTATGTGTGTATGTGTGTATGTGTGTGTATGTATGTATGTATGTATGCATGTTTGCATGTATGCATGTTTGCATGTATGCATGTATGCATGTATGTGGTTTTCATGTATGCATGTATGCATGTGTGTATGTATGTATGTAATGTATGTATGTATGTTTGTATGTGTGTACGTGTGTATCTGTGTATGTGTGTATGTATGTATGTATGTATGTATGTATGTATGCAATGTATGCAATGTATTGTAATGTATTGTAATGTAATGTAACGTAATGTAATGTATGTATATGTATGTATATGTATGTATTTGTACGTATTTGTATGTAGTGTATGTATGTATGTATGTATGCGTGCATGGATGGATGTATGTATGTGTGTATGTATGTATGTATGTACGTACGTACGTATGTATGTATGTATGCATGTATGTATGTCTATCTGTCTGTCTGTCTGTCTGTCTGGGTGTGTATGTATGTATGCATGTATGTATGTTTGTATGTGTGTACGTGTGTATGTGTGTATGTATGTATGCATGTATGTATGTATGTATGCATGTATGTATGTATGTATGTATGCATGTATGCATGTATGTATGTATGTATGCATGTATGTATGTATGTGTATATACATATATACTTATATTCATGTGCAAACATAATTGTGTGTATATTCATATATTTGTGTGTGTGTCCGTGTGTGTTTACGTATGGACATATATGTGCAAACATGCTTGTTTCAACCTGTCCAAATTAAATGCCGATTATACATTTATGCACATATCTCGGTGTATACATCAAGGCGTATACAAGTGTATTCATAGTTGCAGATATCTATATGTAGAATGTATGTGTATATGTAAGTATATTAAAATATATATATATGTGGGTATGGAGAGATGTTGATGCATGGATACATGGTACATCAGTACATGCGTGTACTTGTCATTCACAGGTGTATTCTATATATGTAAATAGATTTATATATATATATATACATACATACAGAATTAAAGATAATGTGCTGATGTATCTATACGACGTATACTCAAAGTGCATTGGGTCTTCAAAGCCCATCCAATTTTCCCAATACGCCTGTGGCACTGCCATGCTTGGCCACTGGGAAAAAGCCTGACGCTTGACACCATGATTCATGGTTTCTATCCGGAGGCTACAAAGATAATTTACAGATATGTTTCTATATAGGTATATGCATTTATGTGCATGCGTGTCTACATTACAGGTATATATGTCTGATATAGGTGCGCCGTAGGTTTGCTCCAAACAGCAGAACGGAACCAGAACCGAACCAGAATGGAACTCTGAAATCCTGCTGTTGGGTACCAGTAGCTGGGTTAACCGTAGTTTTATCAATAGGACGGGGATATCAACCAACAAACATGAAGATGAAACTGCGTATTGTTCCAGCCGTCAGGATTTGGCGATATGGTTAGTAGTTCTTTGGGAGTAGAATGCGCTGTGATGCGTTGGTTTGCCACTGAACCTTGAAAGGTTTATAAAAATGTCAACCAGTAAGTGGCCTGGTCAAAACTTGGCTGGGTAGTTTGATACTTTCATCGTTTGCCATAGGTATGGTTCAATGCATCAAAGTATGTATAACGCATAC